CTGGAGGAAGTCTCTGAAGTTGTTGTGGAATGGTCCATGTTGGTAGTTAGAGTAATTTCATTGTTGGTGACTGGTGGGACAGACTCTGTAGACTGTGTTGTTCCTGTTTGGGCTGATTGTTGTAATTAAGTTGTTGGTGATTGAGGGTGTGCGGATGTCATTGTCTCAGAAGTCTCAAGAGTTGTTGCTTTGTTCTCTGTTGTACTAGTGCCTGTTACAGCTGTTTGAGTACTTTGTTCTGGGGATGTTGGAGTAAAACTAGTGCTTTCTGAAGTGACTGTGGAAGGCGAACTGGAGGAAGTCTCTGAAGTTGTTGTGGAATGGTCCATGTTTGTAGTTAGAGTAATTTCATTGGTGGTGAACGGTGGGACAGACTCTGTAGACTGTGTTGTTCCTGTTTGGGCCATTGTTGTAATAGAAGTTGTGGGTGATTAGGGTGTGCGGATGTCATTGTCTCAGAAGTCTCAAGAGTTGTTGCTTTGTTCTCTGTTGTACTAGTGCCTGTTACAGCTGTTTGAGTACTTTGTTGGAGTAAAACTAGTGCTTTCTGGGATGTTAGGTGCTCAAGTGTATTTAAATTACCGTTGCCTCCCTCCTATCCTAAAGTAGGTGAGCTGCTCGGACAACAGCCCGAACTGGGTAGAGCTGAAGTTATGCATCTTTCTCTGACATGGCTGTTTGTGGACTTTGAGTACCATGTTCTATGGTATCAAGAATTAAAATGTCTTCCTATCAAATGTGTGGCTCGGTAGTGGACTGGGTGGACCAGCTCCTCCATGATGAAGGACCCTGTTCTGTCTTATCGCCTCTGGTGTATCTGTTCTGGTGACCCACAGAGGCAGAATGCTGATTTCTAATAATTACAGAATTCGCTTGCCGAGTCGTGCCTTTAAGTGTGTCTACTGTTGCTTTGTTCTCTGTTGTACTAGTGCCTGTTACAGCTGTTTGAGTACTTTGTTCAGGGGGTGTTTGAGCAAAACTAGCGGTTTCCAATGTGAATCTTACTGAAGAGAGTGAGCTTGATTTTTGTTGATTCACATTTATGCTATTAAGTTGAATTTCTGAAACAATGCTTTTATTCCTTGCAAACTTAATATTTAAGAGACTCTTCCCCTTATAGTTGTCCAGAATTTGTGGATGTGGCAATGTTTTGTTTTCTTGATCTTTTTTATTTTGATATCCTGTTGAAGGAGACAGTGTTTAAAAAACTATTTGTCAATGCACTTTAAAACAAATCCCATCACATTTGGAAATTCATGTCAAGATTTATGACAACTGAGACAGCCATTGTTCAAACTGTGAGAAAGTTGTCCTTTGATTGTTTAATTGACAATTTAATCCTCTGCCCAACAATGTAGCCATAAAGTTCAAATTCGAGTTAGTTCTGATGGTAGAGTCACATCAGACATATCAACTGTTTTCTTTACCATTGGTTTCTGAATGTGTGAATTTGAAACAACTTCTGAAGCACTTTTCAGATTCTAACTGAGGTTAAAAATGTGATTCTTGAACACATACCATTTAGAATTCTAAAGAATATAGATATTGTTTTGTCATACATGTGAACCCTGCAATAGACTATAACCTATCCTGCTTCTTGTCCTATGACCACTGAAATTGCTTCCCCATTGCAATCTTTCATTTTGTTAAGTGGATGGATAAGGTCATTCCACCATTAGACAATTTTTAAATAGGGGCAAATTCATGGCTACACTCAATTATATGTAACCTCACAGTAGTTGCCCATCAACTGATCATCAGCTAGCAATGCAGCAACATAAAAAATAATGTAAACCTACTACAGAAGAGACGCAAACAGTGGAAAACCGCTGTTTACAATGGCTGAGTCAGCCGTAATGTAGAACGACTTAAGGCCATTCACGCAAAACAGTGCAAAGCAGGTAAAGCATTATATTAAGAATTATGTGTACAGAAATACACTCCAACGTTCTGCAGGTCTATTAATAAGTAGCTTGAAATTTTCTTGAAGGAAGTTCAACCAATTGGTGAATTCCATGATTTAATTTGTTTTTTCCATCATGATTACAACTGTTTATTGTGGTACAAATGAATAACTATTCTTCCAACACTGATTTGTGCAGAAATTACTTATCTCTGGTACATAATGTCCATAAAATGCTTATATTCTTATCAGACATTTTCTTCAGTATTTAACTGAATATGCCAATCACTCTCTGGTCTGTTTCACTTGCTAGTTTTTCTTTATTATATGAAATTTAAGTTTAACCCATGAAACCATACATTCCAGTCTGATTGATTTACAGTTATGCATCTGTAAATCTGCAAGTGTGGCACAGATTTTTTTGAATAATAGCTTCATCAGATGTATTTAATAAAATATTCATTCAAATGACTTGAAATTAAAAGAAAAACACAAAAAACACAGAAATTATATTTTGGCCGTATTTCTTTCTTTAAAAATAAGAAATCCATTTATCTCATATTAGCTTTAACCGCTGTGAAAGGAGTAAAATATATGCTCACACCAAGAAGCAGTCATTCTATTTGCTGGTGTTTTAAATTATATTTACAGTTATTCCCAAGGAACTACCACTACTAAAATTAATTGTCACAACATTTCAGTGGCAAAGATGTATTTCCCATGAGCATGCCTAACAAGTGCATATATATATATATATATATATATATATATACACATATTTATTTATAGATAGATAGATCTTTAAAAAAAAACCTCACACTTACCTTTGTTTTGTGCAAAGAACACACATAATGCAATGAGCACTATGACCACCAAAATAAGTACTATAAGAAAGGTGAAATCCCTCCTCCGGCCATAGAATTGCAGCTGAGTCCACCTTGTCATTTTCCTGTGCATTCAGATGATAATTCCAAACATGAAAATATGAGATATTTCAAGCTCTATAATGTCTTTTACTCCATAAATACATGTAGGCAGACTGTTGTTACATGCTGTGTAATTTTCAGACTGGCAGTATACTGCTTACAATATCCTGTCTAAATTGTCTTTTATTTTATAGCTATGCTCCTGTCAGCACTTGCAAGCCCTATAAACACTTACCTGTTAGTATCGGATCCACTGTATGTCTCATCAGTGATCAACTGGTCAGCTTAGGCGGTTACTGATGGTCCCCTCCCTAAGCAAACTTTTTTATGTACTGTGGTATGGCATTGCAATCATTTATGAAGTTCCTTGGAACTCACACCCTGTATATGATACTTTCGAAAGTCCAGAAAACTGACTCAAGTGAGATCAACAAGGTGTAGGTGGGTGAGGCTGGGTTTGGATAGATGTGATTTTCTTTTCTTTTTTTCTTTTTAAACCAGTATTGGGTGTAGCCAATGCTACACTGCTAACCACTGTTTAGTGTCACTAATTATACACTTATTGTTTACAAATGAATGTTCCTATGTACTGTCAAAGGACAGAAAAATATTTAACAAGATAAATTCTTTTAAATTTGCTTTAAAAACCCACTTGTTTCAAGTTATGTGTTATTTACGTAACACTATATCAGTGCATATACTGTATGTGTTCACATTTATTTAGCACCTTTATAGACTCACCGATCACTAAAAGCTTTAGACGTCTGTATGTTTAGTGTCTTCTAGAATAGCAAGTTTATATTCCCGCTGTTTATCCATCATGTGACTTTTTTTTAACTTTCTTAAGGATTTTACAGGAAATCAACTAATGGTACTTACATCATGTAAATTTAAGTTATGAAGTGATTATTAAGAGAAATGCACTGTTGTATTAGAACAGCTATTAAAATTAGCGTTTTTTTAATGCATTTGGCAACTAGTCTTTTATATTCCTTGTTTTTAACAGTTACTTTAATTCTCTTTTGACACTCAACACATGATGGTGAGCATGACTAACTCTTTACTCTTTAGAAATGTTATAAATGAGACTTATAGATAAGATGTTTAAATGACGGAATAAAGCCTTTTTAAAAATAGAAAGGTAAACATGATTCCACATGATTAAAAATGGATCTCAATAGCAGCAAGAATAAAAAAGCTGCGATGAGATTAAACACAATAGTTTCTGAGTTTAACGTCATAAGACATTTAGTCCACACCTCTGTTTGCTTTTAGAAAATAATTTCTGAAACACTGCTCAACAAGAAATATTTTTGTTTGATATGTCATGGAAGACTGCACTTTTTGTTCCAACTGTTTTAATTAAGAACAATAATTCAAAGTTACACGGGTTGCCCTGCGGCTCAACCAAGTCACTTTTATTCCACAGTCCTGAAGGAAGTCAAGCAATATCAAAAGCCGCAATACTTCAGTTGTGGAATTGTTTATGCTGTATTTTCAAATGGTCACCTGGGCGTTGTCAAGTGGGTACTAACTCACATCAGTATTCTTATCACTGCCTGACTGACGCATGCCATAGTGGTGCAGTATTGACCAATCCAAGATAAAAAAAAAACAACATTAAAGTCTTAGCATGCGACACACAGAATAAGCAGCTGTTTAAAAAAAAAGTCACTGCTTATTATGAACTTTGGTCCGGTTACATCATTAATGGCGGTCCTTTGATTTTTTTAAAAAAAACAAAGAATAGTGACTATATCTACAAATTGTAGTGTTTATGTCGCAAAAGATGATGAACGTGGGGTTTGCTGTGCTCTGCAAGTAATAATACAAGTCAGTGTTGCACGTATAAATCCATTGATATCTGAATTCGATCTGTAAATATTGAATAAGAAACTGTTGCTATGCTGTTTAATTTAAAACAGAAAAAGGACTGCTGCAAAGTGGTTCCAAAAACAGAGCCTGGCTTTATGTGACATGTGTCCCAAGCCATTAAGTGTCATGACACAGTCAGCAAACACAGGGGTGGAGAATTATCAATTGAACTCCGGCAGCAATCATACTAACAAACACACCCTTTTTTTTATTACTTTCTATTTGACACAACTGATTGTGTGCAGATTCAAATACACAAAGGATGAGAAAAGAAGAATGAACACTGACCAAAGAAGGATGGAATGATTTCAATATTTATGAATCCATTTCAAAGTAAACAAAACAAACTGATATTCATTAAAAATGCTTTGTTAGCGTGAATAAGCAATAAAGGCCTTCGTTAAGACACAGGATAATAAATACAATCTGCAACTAAACCCCAAACAGACGCAGTTATATTGAAATACTTTAATTAGGTCTCATAAAACACCATATGCAAACTGCTGCTGTCTAAAATTATATAACTGTATTAAAGAAAAAGATGCAATTTTATGAAGCATCTGATCAAAAATTAATCACATGAAGAAGCTACTGACAGAGCCAAAACTACAATATGACATATTTTGAGTTTTCATGAACAGTTCACACAGCAAGTCAAATTAGTGAGTTATTTTTCAAAATAATTGTGGCAACTGGATGGTCACGCAAAGTCCACAGCTTTAACTCTCAACATCAGCCTGCTTCTGTCCCTCTTTCGGAGATTCCTCTGTTTCTGTCTCCATTTGGGCTCCTCGGCGCTCTGCCTCTGTTATTGTCATGGGGTGAAGAGGGAAAAATCCGGCCAACCCTACAAAAGATAGGTGAAGACGACAACATTCACAATAAGTATTTCAAACAATACAGAGGAGACAGGTAAATATCCTAACATCTTTTTTAACTTAAGGATAATGACTAAAAAAAGGATAATAAAAAAGAGATAGTATTATCTAAATACTGACAATTTTCACTTTGTGTTTTCAGTAGGAATTCTATTGATGCTAATGTCATCTGAGGGCACAGCAAACACATCACAGTGCAAAAGTCGTAATTTAGAGTGTGTGCAAAGCAATTAAAGATTACAAAACCTGGTGAAGAAAAAGTAATAAAATGCTAAATAAATATTGTCTAATAGGTGTAGATGCCTACAAAAAAAAAAATCAGACGTAAACCAGTTCTCAGGAACAGAATGACAATAAAATTTCCCAATGATGAAGACTTCAAAAGAACACGTTTATGCAGTAAATACACACCCAGGAGTTTGGCAACCGGCTTTGTAGGGTGTGCTCCACATCCAATCCAATACTTGATTCGGTCGAAATTGAAACTGACAAGTTTCTCGTTGTAGATGTTCGGAAGCGGGTCGTAGGAACCCAGCTGCTCAATATATTTACCATCTCTTGCCCTTTTGTTGTAAGCTGCCACAATGCGATAAAATGGTCTGTTAGCCTGTTTGTGGCCCGCAAGAGCGAATCGAATCACAACGTGACCTCCGTGGTACTTCTTTAGTAGGAGTGATGCTAAAGAAGAAAATAAGCATCAAAAGCATTGTCAAAGACAGGAAAACATGACTTTCTTTAATTGTTACATACCCATATATGTAAGTATATGTTATACTATTATAGGCATTCAACTACCAAATACAGAAACACATTAAAATCTAACTTAGCACCCACTGTTGTCAACATCTTTGCTGCTTTAAACAAAATTACTTTCTTAAACAATATGAAGCAATGGGAAGACCAAATTTGAAAAGTTCTCTTGCATTTTATTTTTGTTATGTATTCAGGTTTTGTTGAATCCGTTGCTTTTCCCCTTTTTCGTGAAACAATCCCTGCTTCTGCCTTGCACATAAACTCTACTTATATTAAATGTTCTAACTAAGATTAACCTGTTTTAGAGGCAAATATAGCCCAGTATTGCTTCTCATGTGAAAGGATTTAGTTCTTTATGCATTTTACATAAATTTTAATCATTCTAATTGTTTCTAATAATTTCTAATTGTTTGAAGGAAAAAGAAGAAGAATTGAACAGTAAACCATGATTTTTGTTTCTTAGCATAATTCATATTAATAACCTTTGCATGACTTTACTTGCATTTAATCAACCCGACTAAGTGCATGTCTTTGGACTGTGGGAGGAAGTCGGCATACCCAGAGAGAACCCACTCAAACACGTGGACACAGAAAGGCCCTGTTCAAACTTAGGATATTCTTGCTGTGAGACAACAGTGCTAACCACCATGACAGCATGCTGCCAACTAAAAAGTGTAATGTTCTCATATACTCTGACAATAAGCGTGATATTTACAAAAAAAAAAAAAAAAAAAGACATACTGGTATGCAGTCAAAATAATTTTGAACTTAAGCAATTGTGTTACACTAATTGCACTACTCAGTTTTGCAGTTGTAGTTTGTATAGTTTTCTAAGACTTTGTGTAACTTTTCTTTCGTTACTTTTTATCTTTTTTGCAGCTGATAAAAGTGTAATCTATGACGCAAATTGCGCAAATTTACCAAACAATGAACTCATTGTCATGCTCAAGAAACTAGTTTGAGAGGATCTGAGCTTTGCCCCAAAGTGAGTCTGAGCAATCAGAAGATGGGTACACTGTGGTCTTAAAGGGATGGACACGATCAACAACAATGTTCAGGTACACTGGCATTTAAATTATGCTCAATTAGTACAAAGGGCCCTGAAAATGAGCTGAGAAAATGTCTCCCATACAATTCCACCATCACCAACAGCCATTGGTACAAGGCAGGATGGATCCATGTTTGCATGTTGTTTACAACAAATTCTGAGCCCATCCATCCATCCATCCATCCATCGTCATCCGCTTTGTCCGGGGTCGGGTCGCGGGGGAAGCAGCCTAAGCAAAGAGGCCCAGACCTCCCTCTCCCCAGCCACCTCCTCCAGCTTGTCCGAGCCCAGATCTTCTATTTTCCAATTTTGGTGAGTCCATGTGAAGTGTAGCTTCAGATTCCTGTTCTTAGCTAAGAGTAAATGGGAATCAGTGTGATCTGCTGCTGCTCTGGCCCATCTGCTTCAAGGTTCAACGTGTTTTACATTACACACGTTCTCCTACATGTTCTCCCCCCCCCAAAATATTCAGACCAGCCCATCTGGCACCAACACCTACGCCACATTCTTCCACATTCTGATGCTCGGTTTGAACAGGTCTACCCATATGGAAAATAAACAGTAAAAACTTATAAAAGACTCGCATAAGATGTGGCCTGCTTCATATAGTGAATCATATAAGACTTATATGATTTACTCATGAAAGTGGCCACTTTCTCATTACTTTCATATATTGTTTTAGTACATATTCAAAACATACAAGTTTCATTTATATAATTTTTCAAGGGATCTTATGTGTGTTTTTACTCTTGTATGCTTTTCATACAAGTTTCACACAAGACAGATACAAACTTTATAAGATTTATATATATCTTTTCCATATGGGTATATGCCCACATGGATAGAGTTTCTGCCATGTGATTGGCACATTAGAGATTTGCATTAATAAGCCGTATACCTAAAAAGAAAAAAAAAGGTATGATGGTGAGAATTATAGGGTCGAGTTCATACTGACCACAACAATGGGGGGGGAAAGCCTGTTAAGACTTGGATACTCACATAAATGTACCATGGTGTCTGCGGAAATATCCTGCAATAGGCAAAGAGTCACATTTAAAACAAAGTGTAAATAGCTATATTTTATAAATAACACATGACTGTTAATAATCCTGAAAAATATAATTAAACCACATCCGAAGAAAACCTGACTTTGCACAGGCTCTCCCGTTTTAAGAGCGATGGCTTTGAAAAATAAAAATAAGCAAAACTTACCTCAGAGGACGCGTGTAGGACGTAAAGACAAATCTTTTCAGATGCCGCCGCTTTTTAACTCCTTGCAGAGATGATGTATTGAACGATAAGAAGCGTATGTTTTCCCCCGGAGAGACAGTGTGACTTTCCTTTAGGGCGCCGCCATGTTTTAAAAGGAAGTTACGTACGGCGGCGTAATTTCATCCCCGGGACGCTAGATGGCGGAGTGGCATTGCTGTCCGCTGAACCACCGTCTACAGAAGGCCCGCACCAGCTATTAATCTGTGCAAGAAAACTAAAGTTAGTAGGGGAGTTCATGTATCAAACTGCAGTATTTCCTGAGTCATTCTGGAGAAAAGACAGCCTGTGAAGTGCCTCTAGAACGGCAATGTAAGTAATTACACATCCACGAATGTTTATAATGCAGGTCATTTAGGACCGAGGCACTTCAGGGAGAGGCAGAAATCGTAATAATCCTTATGACAGTAAAAGTAGACATCAGACATAAAACATCATACATACATACATCACATTGCTTATTCAAGCCAATATATATTTATTTTTTAACAATTATTTTCTAAACATTGTCCATTTTGCATCTTACAACTTTCAAACAGTATACAATATTACTCTCACAGCCATCAGGATATTAAATACCACCTTGCTCATTAATTGCAATAGATGGTAGTGTGTTCATTATTTTATGTATATTTTTTTACCCTTTTTATATGTCCTTTTTTCTCTTCCTTATAGTTATATTCATTTTTGTCTATATATTTTTTTCAATGCCGCAGCACTGGCACATAATTTCTACAATAAAGATATTATGATTCTGATTCTAAATTACAGGGACTACAAATGTAAAGTGTAATTCAATGGAACCAAAAAATGACCACAAAATTGTACTCAGGGAGAGTACTCAAATTCTCAGTGCTTTTGCTGATTTTATCAATAAATAAAACACAGATTTTAGAGCTTCGTGCTCTGTATTAATTATATTAATTCTATTCAGGGGATGAATAGGCCTACATCAACTGTGAATACACCTAAATGAATGCCCAATTGAACCTGAATGAATATTGACAATACCAGCCATTTCATTTATGATTATGAGTTGGTAAATATTATCATCTATTATTCAAAGTAACACTCTCTGGGTGCAACATCATTGCGAGTCATGTAGTTCTTCTCATCCTGCCTGTAATTTCCACTTAACACATCTTGCATGAGCAGCACTTTGAGTTTCAAATGACTTTGGCAGAGTTCCTGAGAGAGATCATGAATTTGGGGGGGGGTCATTGCTTTGCCTGACGTGTCCCAAGTTTTCTGGCTACTCATCGCCCAACTGCTCCCCCGCCACTGCTGGTCTCGGAACATGGTGATTTCACACTCCTGTTGTGTAAGCCTTGTTTTTCTGTGAGTGTGTGTGACACACATGTGAGGAGAGGTCACCAAAGACACACAAAAAGAGATGGGCCCTTGTTTGTAATTCTGCAAATGTCCAACTATTGCTGGATCACTCAGAGCCCGCAATCGGTTAAAAGAGACGTTACTCAAGAATATGTTTTTCATTTGCTTGTTTTTTTAATTGTTTATATGCCACATTTTGCTCTCAAAAAATCACTTGTACAAGAATGAATCAAAACTAGGAATCATTCATCCATGAAGCATTACATCTGTGTATGCTGCAAAATATTTTACAAGTAAATAAAGACAATGCTCTCCAGAGTTCCAAAAATGAAAAGCATTTAATGGTATACTGTGTTGAAAACGTATATAACTGACTTAATTTATAATTATCATAACCCCTAATTCTTTAATTTGACAGAATAACAAGATTTCAAGCATATTAGTTTAAAAAGATTTGAAAATTTTGTCATTTTGGTTTGTCACAGAAATAATTTCAACACTTAAAACCCTTTCTTGTCAACACACATCATTGGAATTTGGATCATTACTGACTGACCATGTTTTTTTCCTTCTGTGTAAGAATCTGAAAATGAATAGAGGCTTTACACAGTTAGGCAGCAAACAAAATGCATCTTACATGGTGAATCGGCAATGCATGATTATCTGAACGGTGACATTGATTCTAGTTGTGGCTCACTCTCTCGTGAGGACCCCATGCTCTTTGGGATACCAAGACGAGTTGTTCGTCCTCTAATCATCTGTGACAGTTCAGTTAGAGACGCTCAGATGACCAGATATTTTTCTAAGAAGAAAGCAAGAGGAGTCTGCTTTAAATGAAAGAGGCTGCTCCAGTTGTTTAAGCCATACATGTCTGGATTTAATTTGATTATGGGGAAGACCCTACTAGTGTACTCAAAACTTAGCTTTCACGTTGTGTCCTTTACAAAAGCGCCTGCCTTTAAGTGCAATATATAGGCAATATTTACATTAGAGTTGCAAAAAAAAAGCATGCTTTCCTCTCTATGCAATATAACAGGATACATCTTTTGGCATAATTGTTTACATGACTAGAAAAATTTGAAAAATCAATCTTAATTTATAACCTCAGACTAGAATGTTTTTGACTATTTGAAACACTACAGTACTAGGTGATTTTTACATTTCAACTTTATTCACTAAATGTCTCACACTCAAAGACAAATTTCCAGTACTGGACCGGATAGACATTCACCCACCACTGAAATAGACACACTTGTTCAATTGCTTGTTAATGCAAATAGCCAATCACATGACAGAAAAACCTGCTGAAATTCAAATTGAGTTAGAAGAAAGGTGATTTAAGTGACTTTGAACATGATGGCATTTTTTTAATGCCAGATGGGCTGGTCTGAGTATTCCATAAATTACTGATCTGCTGGGATTTTCCCACACAAACCATCTTTAGGGTTTACAGAGAATTGTCCTTAAAAAGAGAAATTATCCAGTGATGGCTGGTGAGTTTTCTTGAACATGACATTGAGTTTTCTGCACTCAAATGGCCCCCACAGTCACCAGGTCTCAATCTAATAGAGCACCTATGGGATGTGGCAGAATGGGAGATTCACATGATGGAGCAACTGTGTGATGTTATCATTTCAATATTAAGGTTGTTTGATATAGTGATATGAAAAAGTCATATCATGACATCATTGCTATAGCAACACCTTGTTTTTACATTCTCTAGTGTACACAACCGTAAGATAAGCCTTGGCTTATATACCAGTGAGAATGTAAAATGAGTCAACTAAGTATCAGTAGTTGCATTCCATATGTGATATGGATGGTTAGGGTGTGTTCTACTGAAGACAAATGGCTTTAGACTTCACTTTAAGGGACAAATATCAGAATTCCCATGTACATCTTTGCAAGCAAGTACTCCCAAAATCTGTTTAAGTATTCAACTGAATCCAGAACTGCTTAAAGGTAGACTTATTTGCTGAAAGACACTAAGACTACCTTCTGTTGCAATCAGGTCCCTCCTTGAAACTGTCAGATACAATCAATGACATGTTATACATCTTAGAAAGATGGCCGTCTTTTCTATATTTATAGTCAAAGCACTGCAGTGTTTTTTTCCCTGTATATTTTGTTAAACCTGAAAATGTGAAATTGAAAATGTGCATAAAAGGAGAAGAATAAATCTCAAATCAAATCAAATCACTTTTATTGTCACATCACCTGTGCAGGTACACTGGTACAGTACATGCGAGTGAAATTCTTGTGTGCGAGCTTCACAAGCAACAGAGGTGTGTAAATCTTGATTGATCTTGGGGTTCTTCAGTTTTACTCCCCTATTCAGTTAAATGTCATTTGGGTTTGCATAAGAAAACTCACAGAGCCAGTCCAGAACCGGTCATGAACCGCATGACAAGATAAGCCAGGAGAGATCTTTATGTTAGAATAAGAGGTGAAAAGACACTGCAGATGTCAATTTTTCATTTCTTGCCTGTTGAACAATGTTGAGAAGTAAAGTCAACAGCTGTAACGAACATTTTCATCATATTTTCTTCACATCCCTAACGTAAACAAATATTGCATGTTAATAGGAAGAAAAAATATTTTTAGAACAAAATATAGCTGGATAGACGTGTTTTAATCAGTAAGCATGACCTAATCTTACCGTCTAGGATACCTCATAGGTCCTTTATTTTCCTGACTTTGTGTCAGGTTTCTTTTTAAGACTACTAATGGGCTGGAGGGACATTCAAAGAAACTTAGTTCCCTCTTTGTTCTCTAGTTGGTGTTTGACATAGGTTGTAATTTAAAGTATGGAGTATTATCTTGAGGTGGAGGTATTTTGAAGGAGACAGATGCAGCAGCTTCTCGTGTTAAAGCAAATTAATAGTGTGCATGTTATGCTGACCCTAATGAGCATTAAAGCAAATGTGCATGTAACTTAAGTTAAGAATAATATTTTAAACTCGGCAGTTTTACGTTCATATTCATAAGATTCATCAGTGTGGTTAGTCAGAATAATGGACCTTTTGAATCACAAGCACCGTGTGACTTCTAGACTGTCAGCTCTTTGTGATTTCCTCTGCTTTTTTAAGCATCTGTGTCCTTCTTGAGCGGAGATAGATGCTATGGTTGCAGAGAGCACCTAATGGAAAGACATGATTTGGTCACACATGGGGGGTCAAGTGATCTCTTTTTTCTGGAAGGATCTTTCAGATGGTTGTGCTGAGACTAATTGTGATTGCATGCAAAAAGGACGCATTGCTTATATCTTCACTAACAAAGAGACCTTTTCATTTTCTGTTTCTTTTTTCTAATATTTGTCAACTGTCACAGCCACAGATTAAAGAAAAGATGTTCTGTGTTCTTTGAAATTGAGGGGAATGTGTTTGTCTGCCTAAGTCAATAAAGTGTTGAATGTTCCAAGTAAAGCACAACTTGTTTCTTGTGAAAAATAGGGTGTACCCCTAATTCTAGGGTTTATCGTTCATTAATGTTCTCACTAAATGTTTTCTAATACAATTACATTCGCTCCAAAATGTTGCCCTGGCTTCCTTTTTATGCAAAGCAAAGAAGAGTGTAAAACATATTTTGACTTGGACTTTATTGCAATCATTTTGATTTGGCCCAACACAAGCCCAACATTTTAAAACTATTATGTAGATTAAGTTATGTAAATGTTAGAAATTGTACTAGCCAGAGCGTTTTGAGATTCTGGCTCTTTCCTGTTTTGGATGATTTTTTTTTAATTGTTATTTTAACATATGTTTTCACTGCATAACTT